CTAAAATTGGAGAAAGGAAAAGAAAATTCACCTTGTCAGTTTCTCGCTGTAGTGTTAACACCTGAAGGGAAGTTTTAATCTGCATCCAATTAACATAAAACATTTTAATGACATTCCAAAAAGGAACTAGTCCTCTGAAATGGAAGCACATTTAAAACAGTATCATTTCAAAATTGCACCAAGATTCTTAGAAATTACAAGATGCCTTCCTAGTTGCCGGTAAGGTTGTACAACAGGAAGTCCAAGAGGAGTAATCCAACACACAGCTTTGTTCTCAGAAGCAATCACCTGATCATATTGGAGTTTAGCGTTAGGTTTTTACAGAAAACTTATACGTCAAAGATAACACAGAGATAAGGCTTGCCAACGCATCAGTGAAATGAAGCAAAAAGACTTTCAAATCAGATTGTGAAAAAAATATTAAGACATCCGATGCACCAATAATCTGAATGCAAAACCATGAATTAGTGACAAACAAATTGCAATGGCAGAAAGTCCCTAACATTACATCTATGTAGGTCACCCTGAAGCTCCAACATCAAATATCATATTATGATGTTAACATCATTGTTGAAGTACACTTAAATTAATTGAAATCTAATAACATGGATAACCCTGATTCCTGCATGTCCATCACCCAAAAACCACACTTAACACCATAGAACATGCTCACCTTTCTAAGGTATTCTGGACACAATAAAAAGAAAAAACAATGTCAACTATTCTGGACAAAATAAAAAGAAAAACCAATGTCAATGGGACACACCTTTGCACATTCACCAAGCCAACTCATGATACTTCTTGCAGCTTCAAACATCTCACCCAAGGCAGTCAAGGTGGTCTGCTCATGCAACAAAACAATCAATTAACTAACCTTCCACGCACACCCAGAGATGCAGATACGTGATCAGCACATAAATGTGCCTGCGAACCCGTGCTTATACACTCACAAGCACACAGAACGACAGAAAATGCTTGAATCTTACTTTTGCAGCATAGCAAGACGCAGCAAACAGCTCTGTATCATCTGCAATGGCACAGCGCTCTTTTAACCTCCTCTTGATTTGATCACGGGCACCAATATATGTGACACCATATACTGATGTCATCACTGTCTGCTTTACCAATTTCCGATCCACCTAATGATTTTTGGTTAACGGAGATCAATTTTTAGAAACAAAATATATTCAAATGCATGATTCTGAGTGATGGAAAACCAGCCACATTTTTTTTTGAGCACATTTGGAAAAAAAAAAATCAAAGTCAGCCACATTCGGTAAGACAAAAATCATCAATAAAGTTATTTGTTACACTACTCAGTTGTAGGTTTGTATATTAGATTGATACAAGCCAACATAATAAGCAGAAGAGAAAATACAAACCTGATTGATCAAATGCTTGGCATGTAATGCATTTGGATAAGTTGCAGGATCCTTTTCTGCATCTCTCCGCATGATTTCAAGAACTCTGCACAGAGCAAGATTATGTAATACCAGTATTATTGCTTGAAGCACAAAAACCATTTTATAATTACATTACATAGCAGGACTTGTTAGATTGATATCAAAACATAATGTATAAAGGCTTTGACAATTTAAAGGCTAAGCTACTAAGACCATGTTTAGTTGTAAAAAAACTGTTTTAAGTTCTAATTGATATATTTGTACACAGAAATCTAGGAAGTTTGAAAATAAAAATGAGGTTTGAAAATGATAGTGAAATTTTGGCAAAAGTTTGGAAAGATAAAAATGAAGTACTAAGACCATGTTTTAAGTTCTAATTGATACATTTGTACACAGAAATCTAGGAAGTTAGTGAAAATAAAAAAGAGGTTTGAAAATGATGGTGAAAATTTGGCAAAAGCTTGGAAAGATAATTACTATTTTTCAACTTATATCATATTTTAACTGCCACCTTTCAAATTTTATATACTTTTATGCATATTTTTATTGGATAACAAAAAGCTAGATGAACTAGTTACACAAGCTTCCTACACACTAAACAACTAAAGGTTCCACTGATGCAGTTATAGATACTAACTAAAAAGAATATATAGGATCAAATTCCATTGTAGACAGGCCCCAAGATTGGTGGTACATGCAAAATAGATCATGTAACCAATCTCCTATTGATTCATTAACTAAACAAGTATATCAGCATCACCAAAAATTGGCTAGCTGCCAACAAATGATTTGGTGCTGGAAAATTATCCACCAGAAGTGATGGAAAAAATGAGAAATTAAAAAATTGATCCATAGAAGTTCCAGAAGTTGAATCATTAGGTTAAAAGCCTTGCTAATAGGACTAATCTCATAATAGTCTATTTCAATGGAAACTTATTAATTTGAAGAATAACAAAACAGAAAATAAGGTGTTCAACAGAACAGGTCAAATGCATTGTCCTTTATGCAGATCAATCTGTAAGCAACTTGAGATCATAGTTATAGGTATTTTTTCAGCAAAAACAAAATTAGAAGTGATTCTCAAACTTAGTTGATTTAACTAGTATGAGTTTGAAATGTGTAAGCTCACTCTCTTCACCTCTTACAAATTATGTGGAATAGTTACACACAGTGAATTGGAACGCTTGAGTGTCTAATCTTTCCACATTGAAGATTTAGATTTCAGAGTTGCTAGTAGTTCCTATGATTTTACAGTGAATTTTGATTCAAAGTTAATCTTTGCGTCATGTGTTTGATTCTTTTAAATGGAGGTGTTAAATCTATTTGCACAAATTGCTAGATCATTAATTTTATTTTTAAAAATAAAATAGTATGGTATGATTCAATTCACATGCACTAAGGAGGTGCAAACCCATGTGTAAAATTATTTACATATCGCTCAAAATGTCAATAAAATTCCCAAAGTCCTCAGAATGAATAGAGAGACATAATCAAAAACATTATGGTCTGGATCCTTGCACATAAAAATCTAGCAACAAATTTAGATTCCCAAAAGGTTCCATGACGAATTACCATTTACATTTCTCTTATTAATAAAGCTTATTTATCTATGCACCAAAAAAATTACAACTTATAAGGAAACATTAACACAAAAAGGTCAATGGAAGTGGAAGTGGAACTGGAAGTTCCAGCAGCCCACAAGGCAGAAGAGATGAAAATCTCTAGAGTAGAATGATACACCCACTCAACTCCAAACAAAGAAAGCACTAGTTTACAAAGTGCCAGCCTTAGAAAAATAACAAATATATTAACAAGACTCCAACGAAGAGCTTTCCATATACATAAAAAGTTACATAAGAACGTCAGCCAAAATATCAACAAGGTCCATTTTGGGGGGTCTCCTGAGCTAATTTTTAAAGAGATAGGACACTTATCCTACATTATTTGTTTTCTTTTCTACCGATGTTGGAGGATTCCTCATCCTCCATTTATGTACTTTCTCTTTCTAAAATTATTATTCTCTTACAACATATATATACAGTTATATCAACAAGGTAACCTGAATCTTCCCTATCACAAGAAAAATGACTCTTGAATGAAGTACATAAGCTCAGAAGAATCTTTGTCCTATAAAACAAGTGCAGATACCTTCAAAAACTATTTCTCCCTTCTAGACAACTAGAAAATAGCTAAGGGTTGAGGACAAGGGATGAATCTTCCAATCTTTGCCTGTCCTAAAGCCACCACACTCCTTCAGCTTATATCCATTGATCCAAAAAACCAGCAAACTAAGATTAAGAAGATTTGAGGGCCAAATCCAACTGCCCCCTGTATATGTTATTACATCATTGAATAACAGTGCATATCATAACATGATAGTCAGTGCAAAATTCCTCAATAAACAATCTAAAACACATTTTAGCGGTCTATTTAATGAGTTTTATCCTAGCACCTTATGGATATCGAAATATGATTTTTATTTTATGAGGCTAAATATTCCAAAATTCCGTGCTTTCAGCGAACATTTCACAATTATCTTTTACTCTCTTGGCAGATTGCCAAAGGGAAGATGCACTTATCCTATTTCTAGTACCAGAGGTTTCTTTTCTTGGAAATAAATTCTATTCCCAAGCCATGAGATACTCAGAAAGTAGTATCTGTAAAATCTTTAAACAAATCCTTCTTAAACTCATTCCATCTCGCTCCTTTATGCAGAATGGTTTAGCTCCACACCTTGCCACCATTCTCTGATATACAGACACACAAATGATACATATATATATATAGAGAGAGAGAGAGAGGGAGAGAGAGAAATTACCGAGCAGCAATTCCTGAATAAACATCGGCAGGTTTCTCTCCTGCTACAAGGTTCACTGCAGCAGCTCCCAACTAAAGAACAAAGCAGTTCAGTCAAAAGGCAGAGAAAAAAAGGTAAGAAAAGGTTCCAGAATAACATTAGGCAGCATTTCAGAAGAAAAAAAATTTACCTTGTCTCTCCCAAGGGCAGCATAATGTTGTAAGCCATTACACGAACCATCCTTGCAAATAATACCACAAAAAAACTTTTTACTAAAAAGCAGGAAGTAGAGCAAGAAATCATAAGACCAACTATTCCAGAACTAAAAAATCATGATATCTTAACAGAATGGATCAGATCTGATCAGTCAACTTCCATCAGATCTTAGCAAATATTCCCCTTGAAAAAGAGCACATAGAGAATACTACCTCTGTTGCCTCTTAATATGTACCATAATATATCATATGCTGGCAAGTGGCAGAAATAGCATCAGATGATCCAACTCAGGGACACCTTACAGTACAAATACATTAAGGCTATTCCGTCAAACGGAAAATAAGATTTCAAACATAAACTAATCTTCAACCTCCTGCTTACCATTTGTTTCGGGAAAAGCTGGACTTTTTTCCAATAAATTTTAAAGGTAAATTATTATTAAAAAAAAACCTAGTTAAAACTAGGCCCACAGTTTTTGGAAAAAAGTAACAATTTAATCCTTCCATAAAGGATATACACATCAATTAAGTCCAACTTTTTAATAGATGTTAAATGATAATATAATATTTATCACAGTGATAGTTATGTGATTGTTAAATAATAAAAACATAAACTTCATAAGAAATTCTGCTTTTAAAAAACAGGGGAAGAGTTATGGTTTTAGCTAATATGATAACAAAAAAAATCTATAGGAGTGTAAAAGGAACATAGAGTGTGTGTAGAACCTATTATAATTTCAAAAGTTTTGCAAGCATAAAATAATGAAAAGACTAGATTTTTATTTTTTAAAAGTTGTAGATATGTTTGTAATCATATACAAACCTTAAGGACTTCTAAGTAATTTACTTATTTTAAAATTAGTGTCAGCTGAAAAATTGCAAATTTTATTTAAGAGAAAATGCATTTAATCTCACTGAGAAAAAAAAACCTGGTGGACAGGCATATGAGAAATAGTAGTCTCTGGTGAGGAGCTTCTCAATGCTTCTGCAAGATTAATACACGCTGCCAGGCATTGAAAAGGATCCTCTGCTTCCAACCACCATCGTTCACCTTCAAGAGGTCTGTCTGCAGAATCAAAGATGTCATCCAGATGATTTTCAGTAAATCTTATTCGATCCTCATAGGATAACTTGTCCACACCACCAGCAAATAAATTTGCCAAATGTATCTTCAGCCAGCACAATCCTGACTTTCCAAGAGGTCTTCCCTCAGCAAATTCTAGGATGCCTCGGCAGAGATCAGAGCCTAGATGATTAAGATATGGGTGCATGGGGTATGCACGCCCTCGGAAATCAAGGTTGTGCGGGTAATAAAAACCTTCCTCGTCCATCATTTTTCGAGCCACCTGCTCCTCAACAGCAAAAAATTAATCATCTATCTGAAAGAGGATGAAGTAGTGTTGACTAGATCTAATAAAAAAAGAAGCCTCTTACAGAAAGTTTCAGTTCTATATCACACCGCTGTGAGTGCCTCTCACTATTTTCCTTTTTGGCAGCCTTAACTTTCCATTTCCATTTCCGAATTTCTGTTCCATCTTCAGTATCAGGTTCCTCAGGCAGAGAGACCTAGCAAAGATGGAGATGAAAAAAAAAAAGAAAAAGGATTAAGGATGAATGATATAAACATAAAGCCAGCACCACTCAACAGAAAAAGTAAAGAACAGAGACAAACAAACAAAGAATATTTTCTTCGATCCAAAAGAACAAGGAGAAAGTGGACATAAAGAATAGTTTCTTTCATCAGAAAGAGCAAAGCGCTCAAACAAGAAGAAAGTGGAGAGCTCACATCTTCACGATTAACCAAGCCAGCAATACAACCTCCATTAGCCCATATTCTGTCAATGACACCTAGAACTCTCTTGTTTACCCTCCATTTGGTGTTTCCCAATGTATCCAAGGCCTGGTTAACAAAATAGCAACAGGATCATTGGCAGAAAAGATAGTTGAAAATTATTTTCCAACAACAAATGTATATGAACACAACATTCCTCATCAATATAATTATTTCAAACATGAAGAATTGGTAAGTGATCACATTGAGACTATATTTAACAAATCAGATAGGTTTCAGACCTCAAAAACTGGCTCTAATTGTGTTTTTGGAGTTCTTTTAACTGCTTCACGTTGTTGTTTTGCTCCATGCGTTCGCATGACATATGAGGGTAAAAACAAGTACGCACCTCGATCATACCTGTAAAATATTTCCAAGCTTAGATGTAAGAAAAAGGTTTAGAGAAACATCATGAAGTTTGGGATTGTCTCGATTAGTGTCATGTACGGTTAGTTGAGACAACTTTCACCATGCACTTTATGTCTATAGAAAATAGACCTTTTTCAAATTTTAAAATTACTTTTACTAAGAATACAATGTATTGCATGTGAAAAAGTACCATTCAATTTTGGATGTATCAGTTACACTAATACTTTTAGTTTGAGATATTTTCACCCTAGACTTTATACATGTAGCAAATAACCCCCTACGAAATTAAACAT